AAAGAAAGAAAGAAAGAAAGAAAGAAAGAAAGAAAGAAAGAAAGAAAAGAAAAGAAAAAAATGGTGGTGGGGGGCGGAGGATGGCAGGGAAAGAAAGAGAAGATCTAGTGAAGCTATCAAAGGAAGGAAACTGTTAAACAAAATGATGAAACAATAAAGAAAATAATTGGTACAAATCTTTAGTTAAATGGGAAGAGAAGAGACAAAGCTCAGCTGAGAACAAAAAGTAACCCTGTAACATAGGTAGGGAAAGAGACTAGAAGACTTGGCAGCATGGCGTCAAAAAACAGCAGGCACCTAGGCAGCAGTTAGGAAATGAGTAATCACCAACCCTTCCCAAGTTCTTCCAAAACAGATGAGGGAAAAAATGTCCACACTGACTCTCTAAGTGCAGCACTACCCTGATACCTAACTAGGCAGACATTAAAGAGCTTGAATCCAAAGAGCAAGGCAAAAATCCTCAACACTAAGAAGACAAATTAACTACCCATTAAAAGGACATGAAGCCCAAGAGTCTAATTTCTGGAATGCAAGTGATTCTATACATAGAATAATATAACATAAACAGAAAAGAATTGCACAATCATTTCAATACAGGTAGAAAAACACCTTTTTCATGATTTAAAGAAAGAAAGAAGAGAGAAAGAAAGAAAAAGAGAGAGAGAGAAAGAAAGAAAGAAAGAAAGAAAGAAAGAAAGAAAGAAAGAAAGAAAGAAAGAAAGAAAGAAAAAGAAAGAAAGAAAGAAAGAACTAAACCAATAAACTAGGGCCAGACAGATGGCTCCACAGTTGCAAGCACTGGCTGCTCTTCCAAAAGACCCAGAGTTCAATTTCTACCATCAATGACTGCTCAAAGCCATCTGAAACTCCAGTTCCAGGTGATCTGACATCCTCCTCTTGCCTCTTCAGGCACCAACAGGCAATTAAGTGGTCCACAGACATACATGAAGACAAAGACCCATATACATTATTTATATATAGATTTACACATACACACATAGGAGTTTTGTTTTTAGTTTGGTAGGAGTGATGAAATAGACCTCTGTGTAGTCCTAGTGGTCTGGGAACTTGCTATGTAGATGAAACTGGTTTCAAAATTCAGACATCTGCCTCCTAAAAAGTGCTGGGATTAAAAACATGTGCCCAGTTATCAATTTTCT